CCCGCCCGCACACAGGGAGCCCCGCCGCAGCGCCGCGTCCCCTGGATCGCGTTATCACACCCATTTTTACAAAATACACCCCTCACTTCATATCTGCTGTGAGAGCACGACCTTCGTCTAGGCTTGTGAGATTATGTAAGGTAATGCTAGCAACAGGTACATAAGTACGCGTTTTAAGAAATGGTATTATCTGCATTTGCTACGGGAAATTCTATATGGTCTCAGCTGACTTCATAACATTGACGGATGTTGGCCTAGTGCTTATTGAGAGAGGTGTTTATATATTAAATGTCTTTGGGGAGGTGTTCCCAAAAGTGCGGGGGTTAGTAGGGCTAGTGAACTCGACAGTGTAGGATACATGAGGACTGGAGGCAGGCGTATCCAGTTGAAGTGCTAAGTTGCTTATGTTTTGTAGACCTCAGTTCTCTGAAATGGACATAAGGAAGCACCTAGGGTGGGCACTTGTGGCAGTTCAGTGAAATAATGGCCATGTGTCTGCTTAGAGCGAGCATTACTCCGATGGCATTGAAGGGGCTGCGCCCTGACGGTACAGTCCGGGGGCAGCGGCAGAGGCAGGGGCAGGGGCAGGACCGGAACCAAGGGGTTGTGACTAAAGTTCATGCTCATCAACCTTGATATTCTGCTTCTGTATTCCTGTTTGCATAGCTCATAAAATTACCCCTGACCCTGTAGGTTTTGTGTTTATAGGAAAATAATAATGACAGCGGTCTAGCACAAGGATATGCTATTGATTAGGAAGCTCCCCTGCGGCCAGCAGTGCGTGGCGGCGGCCAGCGCTCGGTAGTGTCCACTGCTGTCCCCGGCGGGTAGCACACCTGCGGCTTCCCCTCATGCTGCACATGGTTGTCTTGTGTCAACACAGGCGTTTTGCATATGGCCAGGTAGAGTCTTCACTTGGTGGGATTGCCGTGATAAAGTTATTTGCAGATGTTCTCAAGCCCGGAGTCAGGGATTCCTGACAGTTAAGATCAGGGCCTTCCTAAATAGACACACTTTGATGGAACTGCTCCTCTCCCAGTGGCCCTGTCACTTCAGGTGGGACTCACGGTCTGACAGCCATGACCCTAGGGGACACCTTAGGTGCCTTCTGAGCAGCACCTGTCTCTAAGAACTGTCTGGTCTGGACACTGGACCCTGGGGGGTGCCAGGCCTGGCGCCATTACAAAGCAGCTCCAAAGGGGTGTTTGAGATGTCACGGTACCAGGGCTTTCAGATGAGTAGGGTTGACTTCCCCATCACACTGACCTTGGGCCCTCACGCTGGTAATAGAAGCAGGTGAGTGGGCCAGGGCCAGGGCCAGGTACAGGCTTTGAGAGGAGCCTGTGACCCGCTCCTCTGCTGTGTTGCAGCCTGGCGAGGAACAGGCCCAGGGTGCTGCTTCCCTGACAGCCTGTCCCTTGAAGACAAATGGAGCCGAGAGAGCAGAGCCGGCCACAGCCCAGCCTGAGTCCAGCCCAGCTCATCCACAGATCCCAGCTAGAAATAAAGGTTGTATCAGCACTGGGAGGTTGTGTATGCCGTTTCCTTACTGAGCAGAATCCACCACACCTGCAGGAGGAAAAATGTCCCAGAAAAGCGGCCGCTCTGAAAACACTGGACCAGCCAAGGTCCAACCCCGAAGAGGATGTGCATTCCACGAGTAACCTCAGAAATGGCTCTAGCACAGCACACCAGGATCGGTGCCCTCCTATTTTTAGAAAGCACAGAGTGTGATGGAGAGGCAGCAAGAGGAACTCATTTCTACTGGGAAATCAGTAAAAACTTCCCCAAAGACGTACATTTAAAACCCATGGAAGTCGGATGTGGTGGCTCATGCCTGTAATCCCAGCACTAAGAAGGCTGAGGCAGGAGAATCGCAAGTTTGAGGCAAACCTGGGCTACAGAGTAGGACCCTGTCTCAAAACAAACCTCAAGACCTATTGGATGAGACAGAGCTAGGCAAAGGGGAACTGTATTCCAGGCAGCGTGGGAACAGCTAAAAAAAATGGTGAAAGGACCCTGGCATGCGTCTGGCTGTGCCAGAGCACAGGGACCAGAGATGAGTAGGCATGAGACCCGACCATCAGGACAGCAGGGCCAGCACCTGCAGGACCCTGTGGTCTGCACTGAGGGGTCTGGATTTTTTGCTAAACACAGTGACAGCCATCAAAACACTTTCCTTTTAAACTAAAATTTATTTACATAAATGGTAATCTCCTAAGCAGAGTACATTGAGCTTTTGGAACAGGGATATGAATTTACGTTTCAGATGTCTCCATTTGGGAGACTGTCCATGTCGCACTGTTCCACCAGTCATGCTATGAGGAGCCTTGTGAAGACCAAGGACCAATGTCCCATCCTTCACTGCCTAGAAATAGAAGAAAACGAACAGTTAACTCCTACAACTCACTTAGATAAAACACTAGCAAGCACTATCCTAAGACTCCGCTTTGAGCAACTGTATGATGTCAACCACAACAGTGAAAAAATGAGAGAAAATTCTAAGATATTTTAGCTGAAAGAGGAGAAGTTGCTGGATCAATAAAGAGACTTGTTAGATAACAGCAATAAAAATACGATGCACTGAGAATCACGTAACAAGGAAACAGGTTATTGTAGAGCCACTTCTGTACAATATGTATTTATAACACATCCTAAGAATTATAGTTCCATGAAGTTTTCATTGGTGCAATTATATAATCACTTAATAAAACTCCCAAAGGAAAAAATACTTAAACCTCTTTTAGAAGAAAGATCAAATATGTGATTATTGTTTCTGAATCATTTCAGCGATACTACGAAGGACAAAAATACTGTACTAATTGTACTTCCTGCAAACGATAAAATGTAAACAATTTGTAAGATTCACATTTAAATAATCTCTGGTTATAACACATCACCCTAAGAAGTAACTATATCAAACTTCCATTCGAACTGTGATATAATCTCTTAGTAGCAATGAGAGGAAAATATCCAAGTTACTTTAGCAGAAAGGGAGTTGAATCAAAAGAAGGTGCTCAATATCTGCCAGGGCAAGGACATTAGGACAAACTGCGTCCTATGCCATCGTGCGGGGGAGGATGCTGTCTTGAGATGTATTTGGCCCCATGCAGGGACGCCTTGCGGGGGCTCGTTCCTGGAATATCATTTTCTTCTTACAGTCCTGCATTCCTAAAACTTCAGAATAATTTTCTTCCCTCTACCATTCGCCAGTTGCTAAGCTCAGCTACTTGCTGTACCCAGAGTCTTCTTTCTGGAGGACAACCTGAGATTTTACTTTTGCCTTTGAACAAAGAATATTTCATCCACTCTAGTAAAACATGTATTACGTTAATTTTAAAAATATGTTGGGCCGGGGATGTAGCTCAGTGGCGCTTCCTGAGCATGCTCAAAATCTTTGTACCTTGACAGTATTCAGGTTGGATTGCTGATAGATTTTAGGTTCATGTTGTTTAAAGGGAACTGTAGTAGCTGGTCAAAGAGCGATTTAAACAGCCCATAAATACAATATGCTTTAGTTTCTTACTTACCTTGAGATTCAGCCCTCCTCTACAAAGTTAGGGGACAAGTTTCACGTAAGGCATAGAAGAAAAGAAGCACAGAGGAACGGATGCCCCTTTATCCAGTCTCCTTGGGCAGATCACCTCATTGCTCAAGATTTGGTTTCCTTGCTTGTACAATGAGAATGCCACCAAGGCTGATTAATTAATTCAGTAAATGGTTATGAGCATAGTTGTCCCTTGATACCACCAAGGGAAATTAGTCTCAGGCGTTTCTGTCTTCGCTCCAGTCTTCTGTACAAGTAGCATGGTATTTGCATGTAACCTACATACTTCCTTTGTATACTTGACATCTCTGCGTGGCTTATGACACCTAGTACAGTGTAAATGCTTTGTACATATTTGTGACAGTCCATTGTGCAGGGAATAATGACAAGAAATCTCTTCAAGTATACTACAGACACGTCTTTTCCTTGAATAACTTGAATGTGGAGTTGTTTGAATCCACAGACATGAAAGCTGGGTCTGGAGGCTGCCGATCTGTCATGCCAGGCTCTCTAGGTATTGGGGGCGCAGCAGGGAGCAGAGCACACAAACACTCCTACCTGCTGGGAGACCGGCAGTAAACACATATATATGGTTACCTGGTGATAAGTGCTGCGGAGAGAAAGAAAGCAGGGGATGGACCAGGAAGGTGGAAATACAGGTGAGTGATGTTAAAACTGTCAGGAAAGCTCCATGGAGATGACATTTAGCAAGTGCCTGAAGAAGGGCAGGGGCCATGTGGGCGGAGGGACGGAAAACCCTCAGCAAGCACAAGGGCCCAGGGCAAGCTGTGCCCGCTGTGTCGAAGCAACAGCAAAGGCAAAGGCAGGAAAGCGGGTGCCTCGGAGGCACTGCCCCACCCTCCTTCTGCATCTCTCCGTGAAGGACAGATGACAGTAAGAGCTGTTGTCTCTGCCTAGAATAAGGTGTGGATGCTTATGTTGAACATCAAATGCACAACACAGCCTAATTTAACAGTGATTTCATCCAATTCTTGGAAATTTCTAATGTGGTTTAAGAGAAGGACAACTCAAGAGCCTACAACCTTTAAAGAATGGTAGAACCAGGCGTGGTGGTGCACAGCTGTCATCCTAGCACTTGGGAGGCTGAGGCAGGAAGATCGCTTCAAGTTTGAGGCCAACCTGGACTAGATAGTGAGTTTAAGGCCAGCTTGAACTACATAGTAAGATTCTGTCTCAAAAAAACAAAAGAAAAAAAAGAATGCTGGAAAGTGGCAGTGGTGGTGGGGGCCTGGTAGGCTGCATGTTCAGATGAGCTGAGAGTCACAGCACAGGCTGTAGGAGAGGACAGCAGCAGGTTTGGGAAGGGCATGCATCATCACCTTGTAATCCTCTGCTCTGTGGTCCTCAACATTATAATTACCTGGGCGGCTTTGATGATCTCGGAAGGTATTCACGGTGCTTGGTGGTGACTTGAAGACTCTGACATGATTCCTGGTAGAGTCAGGTGTTGACTTCCTTCTTCACATGCGAATGATTAAATCGTGGCATAACTAAGAAGGGGACATTCTATTCTGCAGCATGTATTGACAGGAAACAGATAAGACCATCTCCATGAAATTCTGTATTCCATCCAAAATCCCACCTGTAGGGGACTCTTCATTTTTCCATCATCTGCTGAAGCTTTTTGTAGATATCAGCCATTCTCTACATTTCATGCTTTACAGATATGACTGCAAAGGTGGCTGGATTGAATATGTAGGAGGTTTGTTTTCACCTCATAATTTGGGAGTCATACAGATCTGTCTGTATAACTAGCCTTTGCTTTTGATCAAAATTACAATTTTTCTTTGGAATGACTAGGCCAAGCATGCATTTAATCCACTTAATTTATGAACTGCAAAATATTCAAACTGCAGCATACTAAAAGTAACACATGACCCTAAGGATTACATGACTATTTTTATAATTCAGGAACAAGCTACTATATTCCCTCATATTCATGTTATCTGATATTAATAGAAGTTACAGCTTTAATCTTCACAGTTAAACAGGAAACAATTCAGTGAGAGAGAGAGTTCTACCAAGTTCATAAAGATGTATGGATCTTTGAGAGCCAGTAATTAAACCATTTAAGATAATGGAAAATATCAAACAATCCAATTATGTCACCGGCTTCTTACTGTTTGTCTTTGGTTTGAGAGTGAACCAGGTTTTCTTTTTGACTATATTTTTGGAAAAGTCTGTTGTATAATTTGAAATAATCTTACAAATGAAATTTCATTCTATTGTCTGCAAAATTGCATTTAGAGAAATTAACATGAATATTTATGAGGAAATGTTAAAGTAAAGTTCTTTTTTTTAAAAAGAGAGCAGTTAGGTGTGTTCGTATTTGACTTCCCATCCAAGGGAGTTATATGTGCTAGTGTGTTTGCTGGACCCCAGAGACTGTCATATACTGAAGCCGCCAGTGGAGCAACACTAGCCCCCCAAGGTAATTGTTTCCATTAGAAGGTTCTGACTGATTTTTCATACACTTCCTATTTTGTAATACTTTTGGATTTATGGAAACATTAGAGAATGCAGAGTGCTCTGCAAGGTTCCTCTGTCCACCTTTCCTGGTTCTCAACACTTACAATTCCAGGAGGTCTGTTTGTTCATGCTGAAAGGCAATGTGGATACACAAAATCAACTCCAAAATGGCCTGGATTTCACACGTTTCTCCGTACTGTCCTCTATCCTGCTCCGGGACCCAGTGCAGGGTGCCGTGCTGCATTGCTCTATTGTGTGTCCCCACGTGTCTCTGTCTGTGACAGTTTCTCAGCTCTTCTCTTGTCCTGCATGTCTTTGGTGGCCAGAGGGCAGCCAGGCATCTGCAGCAGTTGCCTCCCATCGGGGCTCACCCTAAGTAAGCTGTAGGATCCTTTCCATCTCTAAATTGTCGTGATCATATATTTTTAGAGCAAATACATTACATTTTTAAAGCAAATACACGTGTTCCAGTTTTGGAAACTAATCTA